ACGGGATTTCACCAGAAGTAAACAAATGTTAAAAACTTATTTTTCTTGAAAACTGACTTTCTTCAGGAAGAACTTTGGAAGCACTGGGGACACTGTACATACCCAAAGTAGGTTCCATCTCTGTCGATGAAGTACCTGCCCTCGGCATCCGTGGGGATGTAATGCCTCCCGCTGAACATGGCTGCCAGCATGGTGTCCTCGTAACGCCTCAGGGTGGACAGTCTCGTGGTGAAGTACATCCCTCCCACGTTCAGGGGGACAACTTCTGGAAACTGCAAAAGGAATCACATCATCAGAAAGGAGCCTCCAGCCTTTTGCAGGGTTACAGTTTCCGAAACACAGCAGCCGGTCTTTGCCGCCGTGACAAACTCCTCTTCCCTGCCCTGTTGCCACAAACCAGAGAGGTCTGAGGGTTAACAGCTTGGATACTTTGGCTTCTGGGTGGAATCAGTGAGTGGTTTAATTGTAGCTGGAATCTGAAACAGCAGATATCACTCAGCTTTAATGCTGGATATTAATTCAAAGTATTAATGCCTCCTCTTGGCTCCCCACCCTTACACAGAGACAGACACACATGCAGAGGGAAAAAAAGGGAAGAAATCTCAGGCCAGCCTTGGGACTTGCACTCAGTTGCTACTCTGCTGGTTTCTTTACACTGATAAACCATACACTAAAAATCCCCAGTGATTTTGTATTTACATCAGGCCTAAAATCTTAGTATTACACTCTAAGATGCCTGAAGTACCAGAATAAACACTTCATTATGTTTCTCAACTCCAAACATGGATGGAACTTACAACTAAAGCCGCCAAGCAACTGAAATAAATTCAAGAGACTTAGTTTTATTCAAACATTTAGCTACTAATGGAAACTGAACTGGGCATCCACAAATAGTCCAGCAAATAAATCCTGGATTCTTTGGCAGCTGAGCAGTGAGTGCTGCCATCACTGGACCCTGTCAGGTGAACAGCACCGGGGAGCTCTTACCTCCTGGGGCAGCAGAGGTAGAGCTTGTCCTGCCTGGGTTGCAGTAGGAGTGGCCGGCTCTTGGAAATCATCCTCTGCATCCGAGCTCGACATGGCATCATCCGGGTTTCCACTCACTTTGTTCTGCCCCGTAACTACCACCATCCCTCTGGCTCTCGGGAGCAGGTCTGCTGGGTAGGCAGCCGTGGCACTGCTAAACGGGAACACAAACCCCGGATCACCTCGGGCTGCCCCCGCCAGCCGCGGGTCGGTGCGGGCGGGACGCGTCGCTCCCCGCGTCACCCCGAGGGCTCACAATGGCATCGCTATCGCCGGGAAATGAATCACGGCACGGATGGGACCCACACCGGGGGCTCGGGCTGTGCAGGAATGCGCTCGGCAGAGCTGTCCCAAGGCCCTCCAGCCCCGGAGCCGCTGTCAGTGGCTGGGTAAGAGCCCGGCATCCATTGGCTGCACAGTGCAGGGAGCGATTGGCTCCGCCGCGCTTTTGCAGGAAAATGTCATTTGCTGGGTGGATTTGGGTGGCCGCTGTCCCAGCCTGTCCCTCGCCATGGGCGGGATGCAGGAACACGTCCTGCCATTGGCCCCGCGCCGGGCGACACCCGCGCTCCGTCTGTCACCTTCAGCCGCTCGCCGGGAGCAGGGACGGGCACCGGCAGGGCTCCGCTCAGCATTCCCTGGGAAATTTTCCAATTGAGGTTTCTAACCAGCCGGAGAAAACTGATGTCTCCGTGCCCACCGCATCACATCTCATCGCACATGAACGCGCCCATCTGACACACATGTATTTAATTCTGCTCATTATCCTGCGCGTTTACTGCTAATTATCCGTTTCCTTTCCGGCACAGAGCAGCACCTACAAGGCTTTCACAGTCCACCTTCAATCGCAGCACGGGATGGACTAACCAGCTGCACTATAAAAATAATAACTGAAAGAGCAGAGCAGCAAAGAGGAGAAACCCTGCTGTTCCCTTTACACTGCATTATGTAAAATCCCTGTTTCCAGGATCGCTGTGGTGCCTCCAGCAGCATCACAACGCCATAACAAAGGCATCACCACTACCAGAGGCTTTAGCTCTAACCCTGCAAGCTCCTTCTCTGAAATCACTATGAAATATAAAAAGAGAAGGATTATTTGCACGAGCACATCTGGTGTTTTTATTTATTGACTAAACAAATGTTTCACAAAGGGTGCTTCCCATCAAAATCAGCAAGAAGAAATGACATAAAATTTTGAAAGACATGATTAATTATTCTGCCTGTATAATTCTGCTAATACAGGCACTGTGCACATCATCAGCCTGTCTGTAGATCTCAGCTCTTAAAGAAAATGCTGCAAGTTCAGAAAGAACCCAGACAGACCCTGGATGCTCCTGGGCAAAACATACTCTGTATAGAGCTGATCAGATCACAATCTCCACGTTCTGAGGGAGTGTCCACAGCCTGCTTTCACCAAAATTTGGATGTGAATTCTACACCCTGTTTAACACCTTAATAAACATAGATAAGTAGGTACCCTGAAGTGTCAAACATTTTTTTGTTTAAGTTTAAGCTGCAGCTCGTTAAGAGGTTTGGCTCAGCTTAGGACAGGTATTTAACTTCTCTTCTCTACAGTTTATAACCATTTTTCCACCACAGTCCAATGCACAGGCAGACAAATAAGGATGGAAGGGCTTCTCAATGTCCACACTCTATTTTAATATTTGTCCTGAAAACATTTATTCCAACATTATCAATTATCAAAACAACTCAACTACGCCTCACAGATAAAGAACAGACACAACATAAATGAAATATTATTTTGGTAGGGCTCCTTTAAAGAAGTAAACAAATTATCACCCAGATACAGCTTGCAGAAGCTTCATTTATAAGACGCACAGTCAAAATTGAGCAAGCCTGTATTTACTGTGAATGTATTATTTATAATGCTGTCACTTGACACCAGTGCTTTGCCTGCTATTTCCAGCTCTCTTAAGACTCAAGACTGACCAAAAATGTGTTCTGTAATTGTCTACATTTTTCAAGAATGTCCCATATATTTCACTTAAATGGATCATCCTGTGAATAAACAACATTCAGCTCCATTAAGTATATGGGTATCATTGACCACAGAATGTGTTTGGGGTAAGTTCATCCATTTGGCACTGTACCAAAAAGGGCCCCTTTCCTACCAGAACTAGAGGTCTGAGAAAAAGGAATTCTTCCTCTTTCATAATCCTCCTTCAACGTGACACCAAGGTTTAAGAAAAAAAAAAAAAAACATGAGAGAGCATACCTTAATTCTCTTACACCCAGGAGTAACAGCCTCCTTTGCCATTGGAACATTCACACAAACAATCCCCTCAACAGCGAGGTTTGGCAGGCAAGTTCTTGGCCCAGGATTTCAAGATTAAGTTTAGTGGCAGTAAAATGAAGAGATTAATCACTGACAACTTTAACCTGTTTTTTGACCTTCATTAAAAGGTGACTGAAGTCCCACTCTAGGTTTGCTTCACCCGTTCACTCCCGGGCACGGAGCAGTGGAACAGTGGAGTGGTGACAGGAACAGAGTCTCCCTGAAAGAAAAACAGAAGCTGATCACTGCCCAGTTCTCTGACAGACACTCAGTTCTCTGCATTTCATGAAGAATATGCATCCATCTGGATCATAAAATCAAGAATGGTTTGGTTGGAAAAGCTCATCTTGTTCCAACCCCCTGCCATGGGCAGGGACACCTTCCACTACACCAGGTTGCTCCAAGCCCCATCCAACCTGGTCTTATCCTCTTCTTGCCACTTAAAGAATGTGCAATAATTATTTTTAACTAGGCACAAAAATATTCCTTTTGTTAAATCTCTCATTAAAGTTACAGGGTTTGTTTTATTTATTTAAACTAAGTAAATGCTTCCATTTCACTTTCAAATATATCTGAGTCCAGATCAACAGATGGTTAATGAGATGACATCATCAATGAATAAAATTATTAAATCAAATATTTAACTGAACCAAGATCAGCAGCATCCAACTCTACCAGAAATACCTCCTGCCAGTCCTTCTACCTGGCATTTAAATGCAGAGATTCCTTCCTGGAGCTTTGTTATGGACAGCTCAGATACTGTCACACACACACACACCCCCCAAAGACATCTCAGTAAATGAACTGGCCCTGCCAGTCTGGCTTCATTCCCCAGGGAATGATAGCAACCCTACAGCAGCATCGAGTTGGACTGGATAGTAAGAGTCAACAAAACTTTTCAAGGTTCTGCTGTTCCCTCAGCTTTTCTGTATTGGTTTAAATAACCTTTTCTTAAATACTTAGAGATTATGCGAGTGTTGGCAAAGTGACACACCTAAAAAAGTTACATATCTACAAATGATTACACGGTCCTAATGATTACATGGTCAAAGTCTTTTTCAGTGAGGTACTGATGTATGAATCCATCCTAGGAGACCCACACAGACTTCAGTTCAAAGCTAACTCCTTGGGATGTGCTTGTTTTGAGGAGATACCAACTGGATTTTAGGAAGGCTCCCCCTTTTTCCAAGAGAAACTGGGTCCCTGTGAGGTCACAGAATGAGATGTCACTTAGCAGTCTCTCCATAGCTATCTTCAAAAGACTCGGATGATCAAAGGTTTGTGTGAACGCCCTGGGACGAGACATGACATCCAGGAAATTCTCATAAATCTGCATCAGAACAGTGAAGGAACACCCTGAAAAAGGGGGCAGGATCCCTGAGGTGCAGAAAACGGTATTATACATTGGACTGTAAAATCCTGGACATTCTCAGCACCTCTAGGCATGAGCAAAAGACAACACAGAGTATGATGAAGGGATAGGGTAACTTAACTTTTGCAGCAGGGAGCAGACATGCGGTGTATGGGTGCGTATGATGGGACTCTCCATCACCAGTGGCTTCCAGGGCAGCAGCGGGACAGCGGGGAGACCTGACTGGGAGCTGCGAGCAACCAGTGGGTAAAGGACACCGGGGCTGTACTCGCTGGTGGCTGGCACTGCCACCTCACACAGAATTCCACAGCTTTTAGAGCCGCTCTGCAGTCTGACAGCCGAGAGGAGCAGAGGCATCACCCACGGGCACCACCACAGCGTGTGGACCGGGCAGCGCAGCCCCCAGGCGGGCTCAGGTGGGTACACCAGGCGCCCGGCAAATAAATCAAAAATTAATTCATAAATAAATAACGAGTAGCTGTCACCCAGCGACTTGCTGGGGCCTCCAGCACAGTCTGAACGGAGCCCCCGGACGCGGGGCAGCGGCCCCCGCTCCGTCCCCCTCCCGCCCCGCGGCACCTCCCGCCCCTCACCTGAGCGGCCCCGCCGGGGGTCGGTAGCGGAGCCCCGGCTCCGGGGGGAGCAGCCGCCGCCGCATCAGCCGGGGGATGGACGGGGGCAGCGGGGCCGCCTCTCTCCGCCCGCCCTCACCTGCCCCGGCCCCGCGTCACGTAGGGCCCATCCGGGTCCCGCGCGGGCGGGGCCGGGCCCGTCCCCACACGGGGGCGGCGGGAGCGCGCCCCCCCACCCCACCTCTCAGGGCCCCGCCCGGGGCTGCGGTTCCTCCTCGATCCCGCGCCGCTCGCAGGGATTAACTGATTGATTAATTAGCCGTGATTAATTGCCGGCAGAGCACCGGGAGCACCGATGGCGGCTCCGCGGCCGCGCTGCCCCCGGCGGGCACTAGGGGAGGCCCCGGGATCACTTTTGAGAACGAGCCGAGGGTGAAGGAGCTGGGAAAGCTGGACCCAAGTGTCGAATTCGCTTCTTCCCTGAAGGCACTTTGATATCCTTCACTGGTGTTCACGGTGGTTTTAGAGACACACGTTAATAATCTCAACTGGAGCAACAAAAAGAACGGAGGGAAATAAAAAAAACCTGTTTCAGAGCCGAAGAGGCAGAAGTTTTGGAAACACAAGTATTTTTTAAAGAACTTCTCTTAAAACCAGTGGGGAAGGGCTGAGCCCACCTTCAGCATCGTGAACCACTGAGGTGAACAGAAAATGAGACAAAATGAGGCAAAAACCACCTAAAAAATACCTCACTCGAATAATCACCTGAAGTTTTGATACCCAGGATAGTTTCACAGCCAGAGTTCAGCAGCAGTTTCACCCCAGCAACGCAACTCTGAACACAACGGCTTTGGAGGAAAAAAGGAGGCTAAAAATTACCTTCATTCTCCTGCAGTAAAGAAATCTCATGTTACTTTCTTTATAACTCTCAGTGGGACACTCCAGTTTACTTTTTCCTCATCACCCAGCTATTAAAAGCAAACAAAAAGCATTGAATCGCAAACCTGAAAGAGAGACCCAAACCCAGGACATGAGATCAGATCTCCCCTCCACTAATGCATCAACATCTTGAATTATTTAAATCTTAACTCCGAAGCAAAAATATTAATAAATAAATGAAAATCACATTTAAAGCATTTATTTTGAAAAATAAAATACAAAAGATCATTGAATTGTAATTATACATGTAATTTATCAACTTTTTTTTTAAATAAAAGATATTTAACAATTTCCACATATGAATAAAACAGACAACTGTTCCACCAGAAATCTTTTAGGACAAGCACAGACCACTCTTGAAAGCTTCATACATTTAAAACCAAACTGCTACAAGAAACAAACAAAAAAAAAATCTTTGAAGATGGAGCTTTGTAATTAAGACAGAAGAGCAATTTCAGAGACAGGCATTGCTTTGCATTTTTTTTAAAACCTTAAAAAAATAGTTGTGCGAATGTAATACAGTTCTACATTAACATCAGTGTTTTTTATTTTCTTTAACAGGTTTACATGCGCTCACAACACCGAAATTTTGAACAAAAACAGTATGAAAGAAATGGGAGAGAAAATTCTGAAGGAAGCAGGCCATGAGCAGCACACCTCACTGATCCTAGGGGGACAGGCCGGATGGATCATTCCCACTGAAAAGGCAGCAGTCGATTTTCTAAAGAAGAGGAAAAATAAAGTTATGTTTGAGCTTTCCGTGAATATTCGGCTCTCATCCTCAACAATGTTTTGGAATTACAAATAGTGCAGAATTAATTCATTGCTCTTTCAGTAGGTGGAAAGTCACTGTCAAGACAAACCACAGCCACTAAAACGTTCCTGTAAGGAATGTGGCTGCTTTGTCCATCGTTTATCATTAGAGTGACTTCTTGGAGAATATTTAGATGCAAAAAATAGACTGGTTTTCCACTTACATTCCAAGAATTTGTGACAGTGGGCTGCACTGACATGCTGGAAGTCGACATTGTACTAGGGGAAGTTACTGCTGGGAAGTTCACAATTTGGTTTCCCAGAAACTGGGCAGCAGCTTTAGGCAGAAATATTGCAGTTTTAAATATATTTTTCAGAGCTAAGTGGCAAAATGAAGCTGATGTTTTAGTCATTTTAACATTGACTACATGAAAAGATTATGGTTTCTCTATCCATTTCAGACTGAAAGCCTGCAATTAATCTTTGGAAACCTTTTATATCCATTATTTCTAAGTGGTGCAATGCTTTTGGCTATATTTAGGGCACTATATTTATGGCCATGTAAGCATCTATTTTGGGTGTATTGGTGGGGCATGTTGCTTTTGGCTATATTTAAACTGGAAGCATTTTGTCATCTTTTGTTGTCGAGCCAGAATATCTGATAACATAGCTGACAAGTAAAAATCCTGGATTAATACAGTAATTCTTGCATCATTCATTCCTTAATTAGTCTGGAATTTACTGCACAATTTGCCATTGTTTATTCAATTACTAAAATGCAGTTTATTAAAAATACTGGCTATGGGACACATTAAAAACAAATTATACAGATCAGCTTATCAGTTTCCACTATCACAAAAGGGCAATTACTTTAAAAACAAAATGACACAGGTGATGAAGAGTCATCCTTAAAGCTTCCCTGTTCTTTTATTAATAAAAGTATAGTTTTATGTACTCCTTCCAATTTCAAGCTCTAAAATAGAGTTGTCAATTCAATAACACAGCAAATACTGAAATTATGATGAGCCATATAGGACTGCACTTTCCTCAAAGTGATTTTTACAGATTCTGAACTAAGGTCTGTACTTCATGTTTTTCTTACCCAGAATCTTACACAGAGTTTTTTAACATAAGTTAAAAAAAATTCAGTTAAACTAAATTGAGAACAACAAATGAGCAGGACTGCAACACTCTTTTATTACCTTCTGTGCAAGAAATGTCCATTTTATCTTCTATTCCATAGGTTCAGTCTGTCAAAGAAATAACTAAAATTAGCTACATTACATTAGAGGAAAAAAAAATATCATTCTGAGCACTTATGTTTGTACTCCAAACCATTGAGGTGTTTACTTACACTATGTTAATTTTATCTTTAGTATAACACTAAAAGAGAACACTATCAACTTCAACTCCAGTGTCAGTTTTTATGGTTTAAGAAATATTCTTTTACTATATCACAAAGCCTATTTTTTGCCTTTTAGATGATCGTTCTTTTACTCTGGATAAATCTGCCCAGAGTCTGGTAAATACTGTAATGCACCAAGCTAAATCCACCTCTTGGAATTTAGCAGAGTCCCATTTGGAAACCTCCCTGTCATATGGAGTGAAAGGACATTTACTAGGTTAGAGTGGCCCAGGTTCTTTTGAAGTATCACAAGATAACTGAAAAACAAAAATAGTAAAATTTAACTAGTGGACACTGTACAAAGATCAAGGATTTAAAGGATTTAATCAGGGATTCATTCAAAAAAATCAAGGATTTACTTTTCTAGCACACACACAGTGTGCTCAGTTTTGAAGATAACTCATATCCCTGCCTTTTCCATAAATCCTTATCAGCAATATTTAATCTGTCGTGGCACACCCTGTGCCTGCAGCCAGATAATGCTGCAGCTTTATCTGAAAGGTCGCAGATAATCTTGGAATCACCACAGTAATGGCACGTGAAAGCATCGGAACTGACCCCAGCAGGCTCTCTCAGCACAGTTTGCTGACAGGACTGTTAAGCAGCACATTAAGAACATTTAAACAGCATTTTTGCCGCTAAGCTGCAGAGATTTGGGCCAGCAGTGGAGAGGGGACGATGCTGTGAGCACAGCCCAGGCAGCTGCGTGGTGCCAGCTCTGGAAAGGCTCTCCAGGAGCTGAGTATGACTTGCAAAGCAGGAGCACTAACTGATCCAAGGGTGAGAGCAGGCAGACACCCAGTGAAAAGCCAAGCCCACATTAGAGATCACACAAAGACTGATCAGAGAGATTCGGTGCCCAGAGCAAAGTTATGTTCTGAAAACATGACACAGACACTACAGCTATTGGACTTCACTGATCCACGTTCATTTTATCTTGCCACGAGACTTCCTTTCTACTGTCTTCTTTGGCTGGAACAAAAGAAACCAGTTTTCCTTTTTAAGCAATTAATTTTTGTTTGAACAAAAGGAAAAAGTCAAAATGCTTTGTTTGTAAGTGGTAGATTCTCCTGTGTATTCTTAACCTGTGTGCCTCCCACTCAGAGAAGCTGTGGCTGCCCCATCCCTGGAATTGTTCCAGGCCAGGTTGGAGGGGTCTTGGAGCAACCTGGTCTAGTGGAAGGTGTCCCTGCCCATGGAAGGGATGAGCTTTAAGGTCCCTTCCAACCCAAACCATCCTGTGATTCTATGATTCCATGATGTTCACATGGCTGGGGGAAGGAAGCCACAAGATCCTGCAGTTCGAAAGCTCCATGACAAGGATTTTGCTTTTTCAACTGCAATTGCACAGGTCAGGCCCCTCAGAGAGCTGATGACAATTAACAGCATTTGAAGGTACCAACTTAGGAATTCTCAGTAAAATCTGAATTTCAATAGCTCACTTGATTATTAACCCAACACAGCATCCCTATCCATGGCTGAACTGGTTTTGTTTATGTCTGATAACATTACTATTTTTTTTTTAAAGTTTCTCAGTACTTATAACTCTGCTCTCTCTGTATTATACTTGCTTTAAACTTTTCCATGCAAGGTAACAAAAGATAAAAGCTCCTCTGCAAATAACACACTTTGCAGTTTGGTCTACAAAAGAAACTCCAACTTTCCTTGAGTTTCACAGCAATATTCAGGCAGCTCAGGTTGACAAGCATCACGCTGAAGTTACACATGGACTCAAGAGAGGCTTGGAACTGGAGATTCCACCTCATGGACAAGCTGTTCTCTTGTCATCACTCAGAAAAATCAGGTTTATGAAGAAGTGGTTTTATAAAGACTGTTTGCACACTGATTTGCTGCTACAAATGAAGAAATTAATTCAATACTGTACCTGTGGCACTTCTTTAAGGAAGTCAGGAAGCTGAAATTCACCTTTATAGACCTGGAAAAACAAACAAAAAATACACTACTCAAAGCCCTCATTCACTACTGTTTGAAATGTTAAAGAGCTTGTTAAGGGAAGGAAAAAAGAACAAAAGGAAAAAAGCATCCAGTAATGCTAGAACAGATCTACCTAAACCGAGAAAAATGTCTTTGTAAAAGCAAGTTTTATTCCCAAGGCTTGGTTCTCCAAAGTGGTTCCACAGCTGCTCTCTCAGTTCCAAGCTTGTTCTGTACTCAACACTCTGACCTTGTTTGCATTAAAATGGTAAAAATATGCAACTCAATATTCAAGTTATTTCAAGCAAGTTTGAAATCTAATCTAAGTCCAGTGTAACCCATTCACTAAGCTTTCAGAAAAAGATTTTCAACAGGATGATTAAAAACACCAGGAGTGACTTGCTACAAAACATACTGCAGCCTCATTACCAGCCTGACTGCATGGGAATTATCAAGATTTCCAATCTTTTAGAGCATAATATTAATTCTGAAACAACACTTTGGAGAAAGAGCAAGTAATAAATATCCTCCAACACACCAACAACCACAGCAAACAAGTGTTTCCACTATCTGATCAATTAGGAAATAAATTGGCAACGTATCACCTTCTCTCCAGAGGATAATTCTTAAAAGCTCTTTGCTTCTGAGATTAAATATTCCAAAGGGGGAAAAAAAGTACTCTGGTTTTGTTTGGTGTTTTTTGGTTATTTTGTTCTATTTTTTTTTAGAGGAAAAAACAAGTACACTTGAAGAGTTTTACCATTCTTTCTACTGAACCATAAAGAATAAACCATCCCAATGTCCTAAGTTCTTTGTAGTCTTGTGTAATCATTTAAAAATAAAATTTAAAAAAAATTTACAAAAGGCACAAACCTACATAGAAAAATTCTATAAAAATGCAAAATGGGCCCTAAAATAGAAATGAGGCTACTCCAAAGCTTCGCTCAGAGCTGCGCTCCCTGGTCTGCGTCAAAGGAAGAAGACTCAGGAAGTCAAGGGATGCTTATTAACAATATCCATTTTCTCTGCTTCCCTATGAAGGGGTGACCAGAATACAAAACCAGCCTGGTTTTGTCAATGTGCTGCAGTGGCCCGGGAGTGCAGCTGAGTCAGCTCGGAATTTCCTGCCCAGCAGCCGCCTCAGCCCTGAAAGCATCAGACCCTGTGACTCACGTGGGGTGGACTCAGGACTGGCAGCTCTCATCACTCCTCATCCCTGGGCTAAACAGACCCAAACGAGGCTTCACTAAGTCCCAACATACATTGTGGAACTCTCCTCCTTCCAATAATCCCTGTTTTAGTTAAAATACAAAAGCAAAAGGCACAGTTCTCATTTGTATTCAGCCAGGGGCTACTGTGATTCCCATGGAAACCTTAATGAAAGTCACCCTGGTCAGAAATTCAGCGTGTGGCTACTGGAGCCTTCTTACACCATAAATATTTATAAATGAAGGAGAGGATTTCACATTTGCAGCTTTTAACCAAGCCATTAAAATGCAGGCTGTGTCCCAGAGAGCAGGAATGGAAGTTACAAATGAACAATAGCATCACATCAAAAAATGTTACAGAATAACAGACAGGAGTCTTCACCTTTTCTGGCCAAGCACTGCAGTCATCAGCTGGGAATTCTCAA